GTGAGCAACAAACTAACATATCTAAGTCGTTTAATGAAATCGATAAAACGCAATTATTTGTGTGATTTGAAGTTAATTAAAGGAACCAGACACAATTTTAATTCTCAACAGCTTATGAAGTTGCCACGTCCACAAAGGATTGATGCACTGGACAACATTAGAACGTATAAATTGAGCAGTTGCAGACCAAAATGTTGCCTATTTTGGTAGATATTTCGTCCAAGATAACAAGACATAAAACCGGCCCAAGCTTTTTAAACGACGAATATAATGACAGTTCATCATTTGGGTGGAACTTGAACTCCGATTTTACAAACCGGGGGACTATCTTAGTATAGTATACATTGCCAACCCAACTTTAATAATATTAGACATGTTTTCTTCCTTCTATATTAAAAAAAATGCTAATAAAACTTCGCATTCCTCCAAATGGAAGCACCCAATTTGTGTTCTTTATATCAAATTTCAAAAATTTTTATATTTAAAAAAGCTAGCGTTGAACCTTTACAAAAACAGAAGCGACAAAATACATGTGTTGATGATTTTTATTTATCATTTGTAATCTTTTTCTACTTTTTCTTTTAAGTGCAGCTATAACCCACCATGAAAGCAGCGTCCAAAAAAGGTAGCATTATTAAAAAAAGTGGCTTAAATACTGTAGGAAAAATGCATTCAATTATTTTAGTAATATAAGTATCAGGCGAATTAGAGGCTGACAATATACAAAAAGGCTTGCATTGTTTTATATACGAACAGTATATTATATAAAAATTATACATAACCCAAGCCTTTTTAGAGGAGTGTTAAGTGAAGCATTTGAATATATGCGTGTATAAATGCAATATGTTTGCGTAATGGGTAGTATACTTCTTATACAAATGATGAATATATTATTATGGTGTATTCTTCACCGAGTTAATACCAGTCGTGCAGTTAGTCTCATATTTAGTTAGTAAATTTTCAAGGCTCAGCCAAAATTAAGCATTTTAATATTGTTTTTTTTTTTTTTATAGATTCATGTGTCATTATTTTCAAGTTATTATTAAATGTAGGTATATTCTGAGTGAGCACTTGAACTAATGAATGTGTATTTTTAGTACGAGTAGTATTACTAATGAACGTCTAAGATGTTATTTGCAAACCAAGCCAAGTATCAATAGACTCCACAATGTAACAATGACGTTCTTTCCATTTCACTGTGATAAAAACCATATTTATCAAATATCAAGCAAGATTTTAAGGTGAAAAATACGACTTCAATAATTTTCTTAAGCAGTAAAAATATTGATGCAACTTTTTTAAAAGAAAGATCATCATTGTCACAAAAAAACATTGTTTACTTTTTTAATCGAGACACAAGATCATTCCAAACGGTTGTGTCAATTTGATAAAATTGAATAAATATCATTTAATTTTTACGAATGTGTCTAAGGGCCCTCGCTCACGACGACTTTTTGTAGCGATGCAGTCACGCTGCTGAGCGCGTTGGCATCACTTCTGTAGTGCGTTGCAAATGCGACTAACACGCGTTAGTAGCGATGCCGTCGCGCGTTTACGAAAAACTCGCCGTGGGCGAGGGCCCTTACGCAGACTATCAATTATACTGTTAAAACGAACCTCGTACAGGAATGACCTTCTGAGGGCCTAGTGTGAGTTTACATGAAACGCGCTCACTAGTGAGCGTGTAAAAAAATGACATTAAATGTATGACAGATTGTACAGCGCCCCTAACGGAAACGTTCAAGAACTAAAATTTTCATACAGGGTGGAATTTTGTAATGCCACCTAGAGGGAAAGTACTCTTAATACTGTAGATAGAAAATTTTGCTCAAAGAAAACATTCCTTTATTTTTGAAAAGAAATAGAACTGCATTCAAAGATTTCCAAAAAGCACACCATACCCGGGAATCGAACCAACTAAAATCCTGTATTTTTATTGCATCGATCGTTAGGGTCAAGTTTACGGATGAAATCTCTCTTACAAACTTGATAAATTAAATGAAAGGAAAACCATGAAATCTTAAATTATTTACAGAATTTTATGTGGTATGGTAGTGGATTTTCGAAAAAAAATCTTTGAGGCAGTTCTCTTTCTTTTCAAAAATAAAGGAATGTTTTCTTTGAGTACAATTTTCTATCTACAGTATTAACAGAACTTTCCCTCCAGGTGGCATTACAAAATTCCACCCTGTATATTTTTTTAAAGCGCTCACTCACGTTAGATGTAAACTCACACTACGCCCCCTGTCTAAATTAGTTCACAATGCACTCACCACTTCGCTAGTGAGACAGTTGATGGTGGTCGGCGGGAGGGAGCGCGCGGGCGGCGGCGGCGGGCGCGGGGAGCGGCGCCCCTCGGACCGGGCGGGGGTTATTGGGTAGCCTGCAAATGTAGATTTGATTATAACAATAATAAAAATGCCATTAAATCAATGTACAGAGTGTTCTTATGACAAGCGGCTTCTGCACTAAGCATATAGTTCCAAAATACTGGACTGTCCTGTCGATGACATTGACAGTGGGGCGCCACCGTCAATACCGGATCGCTGGTTCAGATTTTTGCCATGTTGGAAACCATATAGTTGAACGATGGTAGCGCCCCCCTGTCATTGAGTTTGGCGGGACAGTTCAGCGTGGGTCATCTATAGCTTGTGTCACAGTAGCTTTTTAGTTTTTACAAGAAAGTCTTTACTTTGGGGTCTGGGAACACAAGTTAAGTGTAATTTAATTATGATGCCAAGACTGCATTATTAAATATTTGGCACTTCAAATGACTCAATTCTTCTTCTTCTTTTCGTGTCGACAACAAACTGAACAAACCTACACAGTGTCAGCCCAAAACTCCGCCACAAAAGTGGCGTTGTCAGCAATGACTCAATTATTGGCTTGATTTTAATACAGAAGTTAGTTCTAATGAGACGCACGACTTAAGTACACTAAAATGATACTTATAATGTAATTGACTATTTGTCATTGAAACGCAAAACAGCAATAACTCCCACTCAACTGACTCGAAGTCAGACATTGTCAATCAACCAAAATATCTTGGTTTTTGTCTAGCTACAACATAGACAAAAACTTAAGCTGATTTTAAATCAAACCAACTGCCAGTACCAAGCTGCTATCAAAAGAACTAGTCGCAACTAGAAAATAGCTCTTATTGGCACTCCCGCCAGGGTGTTATCAAATAAGTGTTGACATATAAAAGCATGCTAACCCTATCATAATAATCTAAGTCGCAATTAGCTCTTACTGGTACTCTTTACAGGTTACTTTCAGATAAATGTTAACACATAAAAGCATACTAACCTTGTTCACTACTACTCGACTCTGTAAAGCTGGGCGTGCCCTCGGTCCAGGTGGGCGTAGAACCTTCCACCGACGCAGGCGGCGTCCAACACACACTAGAATGCGTACAAGTTATAAATTGGTTATTTATATCGATGATATTGTAATATCAGAAGTTACTCGAATAGTTTCAAGTTTATAAAATCTTGTGTATAAAAAATAACAGACAATTTCTAAAATATTGTTTGCAGATAATTAAAACCTCGCTATTTGAAAAAGATAAAACTATTATAGTACATCATAGGTGTCTATACTTAATCGCGTTATGAATCTGCATGACATGAAAAAACCTAAAGTGAATATTCGTTCGTTATAGTAAATAGTCGGCCGTTTGGTGTAGTGGTTCAGAACGGACTACTATGCCGAGAGGTCCCGGGTTCGATTCCCGGTCGGGCAGAAATTGAAATGATGAATTTTAATTTCTGTGACGGGTCTGGGTGTTTTCTATGTATAATATGTATGTATTTACAAAAAAAAAAAGTATTTAAGTATGTTTATATCCGTTGACTAGTACCCATAGTACAAGCTTTGCTTAGTTTGGGACTAGCGGCGCAGTGTAAAATGTCCAAGGATATTTATTATTTATTTATTATCATTAATATTTTTTACGATCATTCCATATTTCGCGTAAGTCGTTAAACCATTAATTGACATAAGCTAAATGCTTAACGGCGGACTCGAGAATACAGATATTTTGTTCCAACTAAACGATAAAAAGAAATAGAATAGAATAAAAATAATGACTTTCTAAACATGATAAAGATGTACAACTAATGTTGTGTTAACCCTTACTCAGGTTCAGGCAATAAATAATTTAAATTTGACTTAATAATCTTAGTTTACATACCTAGCTTCATTGCTTCTAGCGCTGCTCAACGCAGCAGGCGTCAACGCTAACGACGACGCAGACGATGTCGTCATAACGCTCGCCGCACTCGACGCGCCGCGGCGTCTGCCCGACGCACTCGATGACGTAGTCGACGACGAATTAGTCCGACTCGTCCGCGGCGGTGGCGCCTCCTCAAACGGCGGTGGTGGCGTCGAACAACAGGACAACGGCGCTCCCGCTGGCGGAGAACTAGCGTTACTAACTAATACTAGCAGGGACGCTATTCTCTAAAGACGGCCTTGTTGCAACGGTATTAATGTTCAATTCAATGAACAGTTGATCATTGCATTGATTTACTGTTCACGTCATTGATCAATTTGTGATCAAATTGATCATAATCATTAGTGAATTGGATGATAACGAAACATTGCTAATAGGTATTATTTTTATGGTGATTTAGGATAGGGAACTACTGTGGACGTAGCGCTGTGATCAAGGACATCTTTTAGAGAATAGCATTACTGTTATGGTTCAGACTAAACTACAGTACATTCCAGAAGTCCGAAAGTGCAAGGGAATTGAAAAAGAACTAAAATGGTAGCAGAATAAAAATGACACAAATATAAATATACATCAAGTTAGTAAAAGGTTAGTAGACAAATCACATGAAAGGAAGAAACTAACTACACGACTCTAAACTACCGACTTAAATAGAGATGATCTATTTCTACAGAATAGTATAAGGGATCTAAATTTTAATGAGCAATTTTCCATCTTCTGTATTTTCTTTCCAATATACAAATTGCTCTATGAATTCACTTGGATCAGCAAAAATATTTTAATTTTCATTTTAGATAACTTCTTCGACCTCTTTCCTCATTTTGAGGATCCGGTTCCTTGCTGATCGTTTCTTGAAACTGCCTTTCTTTTTCTGCCTTGGCACTTTCTGAGGCATTTTGGAGTCAGACAAGGATGTCTCGGAGAACTTTTTGATTTTATCATGCACGTTTCCACTTATCGATTTCGAAATAATCGGATTGAGAGATGTAACGTTTAGGGAAAAGTTTGACTTCTTATCTAGAGAGCTGGAACTTTCATGAATGTATTTGATAGGTTCGAATAGCTTTTTGGTTTCTTTAACAAGCACATGTCTTCCAAGATTCGGGGTCTTTTCTGATCTTTTGCTGTCCTGTGATGATGAAAAGGAACTTCTTCTTGAACTGTTTTCGGAATCTGACTGTACTTTCCAAATGTGCTTTTGGAACATATCAATTTTGTTTTTAGCCTTTCTATGGCAAATCACTTCATCTTTCGTCATTCCTCTCGAATGCTGTTCAGTATACGTCTTGATCTCAACTTTGGGTTTAGGCTTCTTAATTTCTTGAGGCCGATTTTTGTCTCTCTTGGATTGATTGAAGTTTAATCTTTTGGTAAGTCCAGAAATAATTCCAGGCTTTGTTCCACCATTTTTATCGGCTTTTTGTTCAACTTCTCTATCTTCGCTTGGGTTGAAATTCCTTTCGGAACGCGGAGTCCTCTTCAACGATTTTGCCGCTGAAATTAAGTCTGAAGATCGTACATTATGCACACTTAGTTTTTCACCAGGCGCTTCGATACCAATGGGCGATTTTCTTGACAATTTATCACCAATATGAGAAACCATACCCTTGATGAACTGTGTCGGACTTTTGGACTGTCTGCCTTTGATTTCAGCTAATTCTATAGCGTGAGTTCCTTGGTCTGGGAGTTCGTAAACTATTATCCTCTCTTCACTGCTAGATTCCGTAAACGATGTGTCATGATAATCTCCCGAGTCCAAGTGCTCTCTCACAGTTGTATCTATATTGAACCTCGCCATCATAGTGGTTTGGGCTATCAAATCCTTCCCCGGATGCGACCTCTCTGTGATGCTGTCTCCTTCTTCCACGAAGTCTAAGAACGAGTTGGACGCAACTAGCTGCGTCATTTTAATAGAATGTTCAGACACAGACGGCGGGATGCGGCATGCAACAGGCTCTTTAAACTTAAAATCATGCCCGTAGAAGCAGAAATCGTCATCACTGCTGGTGATGGGCGTTTGAGGTGGGATATCGCTGACTGATATGCTTAGATTGGGATAGTCACCTTTCGTGTCGATACTGGACGACTGGGAGTTACCACCGCCACGTTTTGCTTTAGGGGAGCCTCTGGGAGGGACGGGTGGTGGGACCCTCTGCTTTTGGGAACCCTTTAGAACGGCCGGGAACGCCACATCCCCCTCCCCTGAGGGAGGCGACTTGGCAGACGTGACCGTGATTTTAGCGGCGGTGGACACCGGTGACGTCACCGACGTCGGAGTAATATGAGCTGTGACGTCAGACAGTGACACTGAAGGACCACAAAAACGCTCGTAAGATTGTAAAGGTTTATTATTAAATACACATACAAACAAAAGTTTGGCACAGGAAACATTTAACATTAAAATAATAACAAACAATATATTTGTGTGAAAATGGAAGCGTAGTTACGTCAGAACGGATTATATGTCCAAAATAGCGTGTTTGTATTTATATTTTTTAGAAGGAGCTGACAGTCAGCGTGTCGTATTTATTATTGGTGCACGTTATAAGTGTGAGTGTTTTGGAAATAATGAGATATAAGGCATGCAGATATTGAGGATTCGGGTGGATAAAATCGTAAGGTATACCCAATAGTAATAGATCCGATAGGTCGATAGCAGCATGGAAAAGAGAGAAATATATGACAATAAGTTTACCGATGGCACTGCCAAACCTAAGCCTAAGGCGAGAAGCAGAAAGCAATTTCGGGGACAGTTAACTCATAACTGTTGGATGATTTAGTTTTAAGTCTTTTAAAACTGATTCAAGAATAGAGCACACTGAAGACAGTTTTCTGTAAGAGTCAAATCATAATACTATTATGAGCATAATGAGAACATTGATTTTGCGACATTGAACCATTGCGTCCATGTCTCATTCAAATACCGTATTCATAATATAATTTGACAGGATTCAGGAATTACTCTAGCTTGATTTTAAATTTAGTTTCGAGTAGTTTGTTCGTTTTCAGCCAAATGACGTCCACTGCTGGACAAAGGCCTCCTCCATGGCCACATAACGACCGATCCCGCGCTAAAGGTAAAAAACAATACATAATCAGCCCTTCAATGTGCTCAGCTATATTTTTAGTAGGTATTTGGGTCATGTATGAGTAACTTCTTAATATGTAAGACTGTAATGTTAACAGTTTGTTGTTTAAACAGGCAACAAAATAGTGCTTTCCAGCTTTATAATCTCAGTTGACTGTTTCGGTTAATTCAAAAACTATATTGCCAGTAATTTTAATTGTTCGATTATGTTCTCTAAAAAAGTGTGGTTTAAAATAAAAAAGTACCTTTCGTAAATGACATAAGTGTTCGTTTTGTATTTTTTCGTGCATGTGTTTAGGGTCGATTTTCCGATTTTGTTTGCCCGTTTAAACTCGACCAAACGTCGCGTCTCACCTGCTTTGATGCCCATGGCGCCGCTAGAACTTGCGCCGCCTATCCGATTAGTAGCGTGAAATATTAGTATATAAATTAGCATTGAATCAAATATATATATAGTTATTACAATGGTGAAATATACAGTGACGTGCTTAAATAAATCTTATCAATATATTCTTAAAACTAAAACGTGTACAGAATTTCAAATCTCAACGAATTTTGCAAAAAGTAAAAGGTATTTTCACATTGCTAACTCAAAATTGCGCCATGTATCAACAAAATAGAGCTAAATGCAGATATTATCACTGCCTTCTTTCCAATAAACAAGTTAATAATGCATTTGAACAAGTGATTCAACAGTATGTTAAGCCAGAGTGAATCCATAAGGCGCTGCGAGTCCGGTCAGTGTGACTATAACCAGGCCTCCGTCACTCGCCTATGCCGGCCGAGATAATTACCTACAGCGCGCGACAACTTCAAGTTGCAAATCAGTCCGGGCCGCCACGCGCCTGTTTGCACACGGGTATCTATACACGCTCAGTCGATCATAGTCGCAATCAAGGTTTATTGTTCCAACAGCACTGTTATATTCTTCTTTAATGAAAAATTGTAATATTTAGGAATAATAATTAACTTTATTGATTTAAATAATAAAAAAACTACACTTTTTAAATAATAAATTATTTTGAAATACTTATGACAAAAAACTATAGCAAAAAATTATTTTAGCTAATAAAAACATTAACTTTACTTCACCGTGTCTATTTTCCGACACTACACCTTTTAAAACTGTTTGTTTAATTTCGAATTATCGCAACACTGAAGTTTATTAATAGGTACTTTAGAGATGGTACGATTATACAAACTCCACTAGATTAAAGTTTTCTAATCGTAAATACAATAAATGTTTCTTAAAATTAAGTTTTTATTTATTTTACTTTGCTCATACAACCCTGACGCTTGAGCGGTGACGTAGATCAATTCTAAACACAAAAAAAAAGCGTTCTTGTGAGCGTAGTAGTAAGGTGCGATTTCGAATGCACCATGTGCGTTGGATATTTTGCATTATTATTATTACCGTTAAAATGTCGGCATCTGATCCTACACAAAGGAGTGCAATTTCTGTTGCTACTATTATGTATTTTGTGCTATAACTTTATACCGTGCTATCTAAAATATTTTATTTATTATTGGTTGTAACTTGAAATGTATTTAGAATCACTCGGATTTATGTATATAAAAAGCTGACACTGTTCGTTTTACTGTGCAACTGTTAGAACACTTGATCAGTGTCATTGAATTTGTTCAATCTGATCATTAAAATGAAATTAGTGTAATATTCAATTTATTTTACTGTGACTAATAAAATAGCAATTTTTTGCGTGATTGTATGTAGCAAAGCAGTGTTTAATAAAACGTGGTTTTTGAAATTTTGAATAAAATAAATTGAATCGCTGCTTATTCCAATTAAAAGCCACTGCAACAATATTTTTAATTTAATGACATTTTGTATTATTTTTTGAGACATGGAAGTTATTAATGTATGTAGTTAACGTAAAACTAAAAATTTTCTTCACACAATAAACTTTTAAATGGAATAATTAAAGTGTTTTTGAGTCGTGATAAGGCTTATATTGATTTAAAATGTTACCTTCCAATGTATCCGCAATAGGGTTCTTAATAAAAAACAGTTTCATAGTTAAAAATCTCATTTAATCGAACATAACATATACACATTTTACCGAGATATACAACTCTTCAATAAATACGAACAAATAATTCTATTTCGTATATTAAAACTGGATTTTTAAATAAGCTCCATAGTTATTTAATATTTTATGTACAATTTAAAAAAGAGCTAGTCTTTTTAATGGAGGTAATGATAAATGAAGTATGTTTGTGACGAATTTTTAATACTCTTTCGTTAAATAACTAGGGACAGGGAATGTCAAATTTAATAAAAGTGATAATTATTATTTATCAAGTCAGTCGAATAACAAATTCATTCATAAAACAATATTTTGCTTACGCACTTCCAAGTTATTAAATTAATGTGATTTTATTACTGAAAATATTAATTAACTACTAAGTTGTTTTAGTGACAACAAATAAATATTTTAGTGATGTTCTAAACATTGTATACTTTTTTATGTATACAATCGAAATACGTATACTAAAAATGCGGAACTTTGACTAAACAACTAATAACCTGAAGTGCTACAATAGCTTTTGGACAGTACACACAAAGCTCAATTTCCCACAGAAATTGGCTGGTAGTAACCACTTGGAATCTCAAAGAAAACCGCACACACATAATCATAATACATTTAGTTGGAATACTGAAAAACAAACTGAAGGACAGCTCTAGTAAAATATACAGCGGTTTCATGTATTTGTCAGATACACCACAGACCACACTACTTAACTGCAATTTAATTTTTTTTTTGGTAGCCTAATGAGGTTCTAAGTATCTAAATCAATTTAATAATAATATTTTATACTACTCAAAATATCACACTACAGTAGTGCGGTATAGATGATGTATACGTTTTATAACCATAAAAAAGTATGTAGTGTTATTTATGAACTGAAGAATTACCTTTGAAATCCGTAAAATTTTGTAATATCAATCAGTCTTTTGACTTCATCAAAAATGGCATAGCTTATGACTAAATAATAAGCACCATTTAGAAAAGGTTTTTGTAATTTGCCATTGATTCTGGTAGAAATTTGATTTGTATTTTAGATAGGTTCATTCAAACACCTGCAGATACAGTGAATATACACGTAGTACAGTGATTTTCTGTTTTTGTGTAGTAAATAAGTAATTTATATGAAACTGTATACAATATGGTGTTATTGATTTTATAATAATAATAATTATTATTCATTTTGAACACCATTGTGTATACAATTTTCTTTTAAATGTATATTTAATTACGTAACAGTATTAAGGCATTTTTACACATGTATATTTAGTCAATATCTCCATAACACTAACGTACTTGATAAAAGATTTAACAAAAACAAGTATTATGTAGTTATTTTCAATAAATAACATCAACTGTATACAATTTTATCGATGTATATTTTAGGATTGCAATCTTAATAAATAAGATTTATATAAAATACATTAATTTGCATTTCTAGTATTTGGTTGAGGTTTTAAATTAGTTTCATATTTTAATAGCCTTTTTAATATCACTCGAATCACTTATTCATATTTAGGATAGGAAGTACAATGAATATAGTTTTAAAGCTATTAAAATATACAGGACTATTAAAATTTAAATTACGAATACTTTCGTAGTGGCTGTCGTCAAATAATATCTAAAATAACACGTATACATTTCAAGGTTAACTAACAAACAACACCTACATTTCATTTACATAAACTAGACGCCTACCTCCATGAAATACAGCTTGTTCTGCTGAAGAAACGTATCCAAGAACTAAATTTTCTAGTCTTCAATCGGCTGGTGGAATAACTATGATCGTGCTACCGCTGTCATTTCCTGTATATATCTCGGCTTTCTCTATAGACTTGATGTATACAATCTCCTTGACTACCCTCTCTGATTCTGAATCTTTAATGTGCTCGTCGCCATTTAGCTGAACGACCGAGACGTGTTCTTTTGTTTGGAATTCTTGATCCCTCTGTGGTAAAGGCGAATCTTGTTTTATGTATACAGTCTGTGTGGACCTGACTTTACGGAATCGCATGTCCTTGGGTAGTGTGGACGCTTCCCTAGCTTCGACTTGGGCTGGAGACACGCTCCTTGTTCTATAACTAGAATTAAGACTTTTTGGCAGCGTGTTTGAATTAGCTTCTGTGTTGGGCGCACTTTCAGATTTAACTAGGCCGATATCGACGAAGAATTTCTTGAATTTCTCTACGAAAGTCGGCGATTTGGCTCTGTTAAAACTGCTGGATAGTCTCTCATTGGACTGCTCTTTGGAACTCACTTCGTCGATTCTTTCCGGAATATTTGACATGCTTTTATGCTTCTCTGGAATTAAGCCTCTTTTCCTAATATACTTCGAATCGTCATCATCTTCGTCTATAAAAGGTATTTCTTGTAGATTATTTTCGTTTCTTGTGTCTACAGCCGCGTCTCTGTATTTTGGGGTGTGCGTTTGCGTTTCAATGTATATTTGAGGTACGCTAGTACTTGTATTGTCAGTTTGTATGCCGCTGTCTGCTAAACTGCCGTTTATATGTGAACTGCCAGCACCAGTGCTGAGAACTTTAGTTAGTTGATCTGATAATGATTCCATTCGTTCTTGTATCGACGCCCTGTATACATTATCAGCGTACGACGTCCCTGGATCTCTCATGGGTAGATTTGACGTGTCAAAATCTATTCGTCTTTGGAAAGTGTTGATTCTATCCCTGTCTAAGATTTTGAGTCTGTCAGACAAGACTGACGGGTATTCCGTGGCGGCTTGCGGATGTCTTTGGTTCCACGTTGAGATGGTGGTATCAGTGAAATCGCTCATGCTAGATCTTATCGAAGATCTAGGGGATAACCTAGAGCTCTGCCTTAGATAATCTGGGTTGTAGTCTTTAATAGGCCGCCCGACGTATTTTCGCCCTGAATAAATACAGCCCGAGTTAGTTTCTTGCTTTTTTTGGTACATTTCAGTTTATTTCTCCCCACGCTTCGGGTACATGCCGTTACGGGCGATCGAATGGTCTCGGAACCAACACCGTTAGCACAGAAAAAACACACCACAAACGCATTTTTTTGCCAAACAACTGGCGGAATAACGCGATGCCAATGCGGCGCCGAAAACATTAAAATAACAAATAGCTACTTTTAGACAAAATAAAAGATATAGGACAATGCACAACAGCGATTATTCGGGGTGGTTTAAAAATGGTGTGTATTCAAACTTCTTGTTAAAGTGTGTCAACTTGCGTTTTACAGCATTTCAAAGTTGTCGTATATTTCTTCATACATTTTATGCATACAGAGCAGAATTCAGAATCGGAATAATCGTATACCAGTCCTTAAAGGATTCGTACATAATATTTATTTGTAATTTTAACCCGAAAGCTCCATTTTATTTTAAGAATATTCAATGTCTTTTTGTGAATATTATAACTGTTTATGTCTTTATGACTAAAGTTTAATACTTTAACATAAGCGTACATGTCATGCAATTTTGAATGTGAGTGAATAATATTACCCAGTCAATCACATAAACTAGATGTGATTTTGACTCGAAAAAAATATAGACACTTCAAAAAATGACTACACACCATAATTTAAAAAACTCAGTAATATAACATACACCGGGAGGGGATTGTGGGGTGGGGATGAAAATAAACTGAAATGTATAATAATATATAGGTACCAAAATAAAAGATTTTCGCATTCACTTAATGTTAGGGAATACTGGATCACTACTAGTATTGTTAAAATAATAAAAAATAACTAAAGGTTAATACTAAATTAATGTTAGTTTTAAACGAGCAAAACGTAGTAAACTTACAAACAATTTATGTTGACAAATAGTAAAACAAGAAAAAAGAAAGAAAAAGTAAAAATATATTTTTAGAATTTGATATAAAGAAACATAATAAACTACTGTCTTTTTACAAAAATAAAATGTATAATGTAAGTTCAATATCCTTTCATATGGTTTGTGAACTTAAAATAATTAAACTTAAAAAAAAAAAAAGTTAAAATTGAAAAATGTTTGTTTGTAAGCTCACTTTAAAATAAACCAAAAAAATTAAAAACAAACCATCAAACATAGTTTTTGACTTACCAGGCGTATCGATATCTTCCTGCGCTCTGGTCGGCTTGGCGATGCTCTTCCGCTTCGACGGTGAGTGTTTCAATGCTGTGGACGCGAAATTTTCAAAATTCAAGTTGGGTCATTATTGCAGCTGGCACACTTGTTTGAAGTACTGTACTTTTTTAAAGACAAACATCACAGAAATAAAAGTAGTAGATTCATTTTTGTTATGTAAAATCAATTTTTAAAATTTAATTACTTTAATATTTTAAACGAGAGACTATTCTTTTTTGTTACAGACTTCAAACAAATAGAATTAGTACTCAAAATCTATTCGAAGCTTGAAAAATAAATTTTGCGTGTACGCGTTACGAAAAAATTGCAAATAAATCGTCTTATATCAAAGCTCTATAGAATACTGAAGAGAATTTAAGCCAAATTAAAAATATACGTGATTATTATTTAAATATTTTAATATAAAATAAAAAAAAACAAGTTCAAGATGCTTTTCCCGGTAAAAGAGTAAAATTAGTTTCTAAAAATGTGTCAAACAAAATAAACTGATTGAACAACAAGACACACTAATCATCATTTGAGAAATCTTATGCTGTTCACTGAATTGAACAATAAAAAAAGCTTGTAAAAAGGCATCTTGAACTTGCTTTGGCAAACAATTTCAATTCAATTCATGAAGATAACAAAAAAATCTGAAATTAAAATAAAACAGAACCGTGCTGCAATGTTTTCTCGTTCGGAGGGTAGGAAGAAAGACAGAGATGGCACACTAAAACCAGGGCACTAACTACGTCGGGGGAGAGAGACAGATAGAGCGATGATGAGAAGCCGGGACCGCCACTGAGATGGGTAGCAGTGGGCGATAGACAACTAAATACCACAACGGGAAATTGTCACAAACGGTACTTTAAAATGTACTTTTATGTCTACTTAATTTTTTTTACGTGGTCAACAGTGGAAGTTCTTACTTTCAAGGCCTTGGTTTTCATAACAACATAAATATATCGAGTAATAATCAACAAGCAGGTTGTTTGATTGCTTATATGAAACGCAACTTGATGAGTCAAAGATCCACGGATCAGAGATTTATAGCTATCTCTGTCGTGAATTCAATAACAAAGAAAAACGTGTGTAATAAAAACTCCAACGTGTGTTATAAAAATACCGTCTTCTCAAGAATTCGTACTTTTTTATTTATTTAAGCTTTGATGCCATATAATTGGAACATACGGCGAATTTAATGCCATAAAGTCATTTTCTGTTTTTTTCTTATTTTTTTTCATTTTTTTTTGTCTTGAGCTATAAATCACGTTTGTAACAATTTCAATATACAAAAACACTCGATATCAAAACACATCGGTACAGGAGTAAAGACATGTCATGCTTCGTATTCCCAGGACTCACTTAGGCCTCCAGAGACGCGCACCAGAATCCGATTACGGACAATTGTTGGAAAAGAAATGGAAAAAAACACAGATATTATTCCCTGCTGGCAACACTGACGGACGGGTGGGGTTGCCAGGCCTCCGTGTTATGTCGGACATTGGTATTTTTTATAAAGTGTAATGATATTCTTTTTTTAAATTTGATTTTTTGCCTAGAATTATGCCCGTTTTCACTATCAATCTCTAATTTTTAAGTGACCCCTATAATGACACATTACAGACGTTTTGTTTTCATAGGGGTCACTTAAAAATTAGGGATTGATGGTGAAAACGGGCATAGGTCTGATATTTTTCAACCGACTTCAAAAAAAGGAGGAGGTTCTCAATTCGACCCGTATGTTTTTTTTTTTTTTTTTTTTTTTTTTTTTTACGGGATAACTCCCCCAATTATGAACCGTTTATAAAAAAAAATAAAACCGACTCCAAAAAACCTACACTAAAAAGTAGAATAATAATTACTAATTACTTACTTATTTATTAGGACGAATTATTAATATTTATGTAGGTATACCATGATTGATACTTCTGGAGTCGGTGCCAAGATTATGAAACATGTAAAGTTTGCCTGCACCGACTCCAAAAGTATCAATCATGGTATACCTACATAAATATTAATAATTCGTCCTAATAAATAAGTAAGTAATTAGTAATTATTATTCTACTTTTTAGTGTAGGTTTTTTGGAGTCGGTTTTATTTTTTTTTATAATTTTAAATAAAGCTTAGATAGCGTATAAGCTCAATATTGCACATAAAACAGCACAAGCAACACAGACTATACATTTATGTAGCAAAATTACCCGTATTATAACGAGATAAGATGCTACAGTCTTTAGCTTGAAGCGCTGTCATCTGTACTTTTTGGAATGTATTACCAGAATTTATATCTTTTTTCAAGATTAGTGTTGATGTAACAATTTGAATTTAAAAATGTTTACTTATATGTTCAACCAAAAATGTCCGACAATACAGGAGGCCCAGACTTGTTAGACCTCACACACAACCTTAACAGGGATTGGGGGAACGTGCATGACATTTAAATCAAAGTCATGCTGGCTAGTTTAAACAATTTGGAATTTGTAAAAAAGAAACATACGGCATCCAATTGAAATAAAAATAACCCTAGAAAATAAACAAAAGAAACAAAAGTGTAATTTCTAAGACATGCCTATTAAATTATCAATTGCGTTAAGGAAATTAATAAAAACAAAATGTTAATAAATTATAATTTACATCAGCAGTTGTAACGCCTACGGGGTGTGGGTGTTGGTGGTTTTTATTTACATGTTCCTGTTTCTACCGGTTATTTTTTTATATTAGTCTGATAAATTCAAAGGAATGTACTTTATGCAACTTTTTGAGTGAATACATAATTATCACCTAGTAATAAGTCTAGATCCAAATCTTAGATTTTAAACTCAGAACATATTATTATCTTTCTAGAGAAATCGTTGCAAGTGAAAAAATCTTGAGCTAAGAAAAACGTTTGAATTTTAATCTGTACAAAAATTGTTAAATTATGTATTGGGAAATAAGCATCCGCAATCCTATTATCAGGCAAAACATAACCTTGTGCATTCTACAATTACAAATGAATTTAATTACAAACTCCCAACAATAATTAGTTTCCAACTGCTGTATTTTTGAAACAATTTATGAGGGTACAACACAACTATTCACTCGAAAGTGAAGCAGTGGTAGGGTTAATGTTAAAACAGTTACTTTGAGACGTGTAACGCCAACTTAAACACTACATAAACTGTGTACAACACCAACACCCGCCCCCAACTACACAACACAACACACAACACAATCTCTGTACCTATGTAGCTCGTGACCAGCGTTCGGAACTTGCGGTGGTTGCCTTTAATCTCGGGAAGGTCCACTGGTTGAGAACACGTTATGTTATGTCGGTATGAGTGGGGTGTGGACACTGAGAGGGTTGCGTACGGAAGGTGGTTTTATTATCATATTTAGATATGTATTTAAACTTCGGTATTATAAGCACATTATTGTTGCAAAATACATCTATTTATAATAGTATAAGATTTTTTTAGGCAGAAAGAGGCAGATATTTGACCGCAATCGCACCTGATGTTAAGTGAGATGCAGTCTAGGATGGTATATTATCTGTTACAGTGTTTAGTGTTTACATAATAGGCATTATGTATGTCAAATATGTATCTTAAAAACATCGCCTTTTGACCCTTAATAATCAATCAAAGCAATGCATATTATTCGTATATTCCCACTGCCTTCGGATATTGTACTTGTCAAATTGTTTAGAAGTTTCCTTTTATGTTCATTCAATTTGTTTCTACAATAGATTTCATATTAGAAAGCCCTGTATTTTCAATTTGAGACTTGTTGTCATTTTTATTGTCTTACTATTTCATTGTTATTTTTTCCGTACAAAACCCTTTCAGAAAGTTTGCCAACACAACAATAAGGTCAAATTGGTCTTACGAATACCTATCCTGGACCTTTTGTAAGACCAATGTCATTTTGCGGTGTTTATACTGCTCTAATAACTATTAAACAAATTAAACAGCAGTAAGAATAATAAAATAGGAAAATATAAAAATGTATAAACACCGCAAAACTGAAGAGTTACTTACTTCAGTATTAATAATATTAAGTGAACATATTATCAAAACTACCACGCGAATATTAGAAGAATTTCATCAAATCATTACGTATCAAAATAACGTATTTAAAAATAGGGTAGTTTTGAAAATATGCCACTAGAAAATAGACAACTTACAATACATCGTAATACTGGGATTAGACAATACAATTAGACACAATTTAATTTTGTAGTCGTATTATTACACAACATTTAGCTGGTACGGAATTTGAGTTTTGTTCCATAACTAGGTATAATATTTGTATTGAATTGTTGTTCAATACACTGAACATATTGATTTGTAAAAGTCATTGTTGTTCACTGAATTGATCGATTAGTGTTTTTGTCAATTGAATATATTTTTTAATAATAAATATCTGCTAAAAAGTAAGATTGTAGTTGATTAGAAAATAAAAGTAATGAAAATCTAAAACAATTTTAATTTCAATAGTTATGGAAAAAAGCTCTTATCGCACAGCAAATAAAAACCAATTTTAATTGTTTAGCTAAATTAGAATTGATACTTTTTTCATATAAACAGTTTGCTGTACGATATTGAAACAGTCAATCACAATAGCAGTGTCTATCGTACGGGACTTTGATACTTGTCACTACTGCAATAGGGACTGCTTTCAATCGTACTGGACGGACAATATAGCGTGATGGTTGAGCTATTGAAGGAGACAGTATTCGAATAGAGAGAGAAGGAATAAGTTCGCGAAATCTGTGGCGTTATTTTACTGGCCACGAAAAAATGTATGCAACCTTATTAGTGAAAAAATATATAAAAATCAAAGAGGTATACTCACACGAAGGTATCTTCTTAAATACGGTTTTTGCCATGAAGTCAAGGAACCTCTGTGCGTAGAAACTTGGCCTGTGCACTGAAACTGTATCCTGAAACATAAAAGATCATCGATAAATCCCAAGTAGCATTTTACTCTATTTAAGAGTTCACATTTATTTTTCTATGAAAATTAATTCATCGGTTCCGGTATGAAAACGTAACAAACAGACAGACAATATTTATTTATTTGACGTCCAAATGTATGTATGCAATGGACATCGCTATTGTGACAAGGTAGCTCCGCTTAATACACTTTTTTTTTCTTAATTTCAATAAGACTATGACTTATTATGTGCTTTTTTGTCTTTGTGTGATGTCCATTACAATAAATGTTTCTTTTCATGTACTTTGCTGAAAATAAAAGAAAAGAAAAGAAAAGAAAAGAAAAGAAAAGAAAAGAAAAGAAAAGAAAAGAAAAGAAAAGAAAAGAAAAGAAAAGAAAAGAAAAGAAAAGAAAAGAAAAGAAAAGAAAAGAAAAGAAAAGAAAAGAAAAGAATTATTTGGTACCAGAAATAAAAAACAGTACAATCTAATTTACTTACCCCGTCGTGTATCATGCTTTTCCACGTGTGTTCTAGCTTCTTCCGCAGCCGATACGATTGTAGTATATCGATGATGCCCAGAAAGAGTAGGAGCCGCTCCCCGCGCGCGTTCCTCGCCGGAATACCGCCCGGTCTGGTGTGATTGACGTAGTCATTAGTGATTCGAACGTAATATGTATGTATTATATGGGGCACACTGAAAACCAGCGTCGTGGCCTCCCTCACCGGGGGCCACGGCATATGCTGAGTGGGGTCCCATTGCGATGGACATCGCTGTGCGACAGGGTGGCACTGCTCAGTTTACTTTCACTTTCATTGTATGTTTTATGTCACCTATGTCTTATTTGCTTTTTTTTCTATTATTTACATCTTTTGTCTTCTGTGATGTCCATGGCAATAAATGTTTCTTTCTTTCTTTCTATATCTATATTAGTTATAAAGGTTATTAGGTTGCGCGCATATAGATGTATCCGAGGACTGAGTGTGAATTTACATCTCACTAGCGAGCGCGTAAAAAAATTACATTAAATGTATGACGGATTGTACAGCGCCCCTAGCGGAAACTTACAAGAACTATAATTTTCATGTATTTTTTAACGCGCTCACTAGTATACAGGGTGTCCCGTAATGTAACGTCAAGCCGGAACTGGGTGTTGAGGCAAGTTGTGCTGGTTATCAGAAAAATATAAAAAAAAATCTATGTGGCATATTTTAAAAATAATAGGCATTTAAAAAAAATCAAAAAATTCTACTCCAGGTGACGGTCCTTTTGCTCGTGTTGCCACAAATCTTCACTTTTTCCAAATTTTTTTTTTGTTATGTAACCCTGAATAATGCTTCTCTAAATTGTTATCAAAATTACAAAACCAGCTGCTCCAGCTCGGATGAAAAAAATATATTATTCTCAAAAAAAAAATTCAAAATAAAAATTTTGCCTAGTTTAAACTGACTGTACTGAAAAAAAAATGTACTACGCGAGTGTGGCAAGTGACGTCATAATTTGGCGCATTTAGTAAGGATTCCAAAATGGTATAACACTTGGTAAATTTTTGCTGTAATTGTCGACAATTTTTGGTTTTTTGGAAATAGTCCCGTTTTTAACTTTATCTACCTTGGTTAAAAATTATTATTCTAATGTGCCCAAAATTCAAGTTTCTGTGACTGACTACCGTACAGTCAGTCACAGAAACTTTTGTCACCATGACAGTAATTAGTAGTTGACATACTGTGACAAAAGTCACCCGTGCGCGCGCGCCTTTACTACCTGCTCTGCCTGCACTTGTACTTGGTAACAGGGATAATAAGGATATGAAGTTTCGGTTATGGATACGGTTACGGATATTAGAATAATATTATACCGGTTTCGGTTACGGTCACGGATATGAAATCATTTCAGATTATCCGAAAGTCTCGGATAATTTCGGTTACGGAATTATTAGAATTTCAAAAATGTAGGTATAATATAATACTAATAGCAAGATGCTGCGTGAGCGTGACGCACATAGCTACTTTATGTACCAACTAAGACGACACCTATGTACGATAAAGGTAAAACAGGCTGGCATATTAGATGGTGCCAGCGAATGCCAGACAAGTTGGTAACAAATATTAAGATTTAAGGTACAATTCCAAGACGGGCCGCAGACCGCAAACTGCAACCGCAAACTGCAAAACTATGAAATCGGCAGCGCGGCATTGCAGCTGCGGCGTGTATACTGCAAATTTCATAGAGTTTTGCAGTTTGGCCTTTATCCGAAAATATCCGTAACTTTTGAATCAGTTTCGGTTACGGTTATGGACATTTTTTTATTTCGGATATCCGATAGTTTCGGTTACGGTTACGGATATCCATAACATCCCTGCTTGGTAAGATGGCCCTCTTCTTGGCTTCTCCACCTCACTTAAGCCAGAAACTTAAATTTTGGGCACATTAGAATAATATTTTTAACCAAGGTAGATAAAGTTAAAAACGGCATTATTTCCAAAAAACCAAAAATTGTCAACAATTACAGCAAAAATTTACCAAGTGTTATACCATTTTGGAATCCTTACTAAATGCGCCAAATTATGACGTCACTTGCCACACTCGCGTAGTACTTTTTTTTTCAGTACAGTCAGTTTAAACTAGGCAATTTTTTTATTTTGAATTTTTTTTTGAGAGTAATATATTTTTTTCATCCAAGCTGAAGCAGCTGGTTTTGTAATTTTGATAACAATTTAGAGAAGCATTATTCAGGGTTACATAACAAAAAAAAAATTTGGAAAAAGTGAAGATTTGTGGCAACACGAGTAAAAGGACCGTCACCTGGAGTAGAATTTTTTGATTTTTTTAAATGCCTATTATTTTTAAAATATGCCACATAGATTTTTTTTATATTTTTCTGATAACCAGCACAACTTACCTCAACACCCAGTTCCGGCTTGACGTTACATTACGGGACACCCTGTATATGTTTGACTAGCTGACCCGGCGAACTTTGTTCCGCCTTAATGGCAATAAATATGCTGACTTTTTTTTTTTCGAACGGGATAAAAAGTATCCTATGTCCTTCTCCTGGCTCTAAACTACCTCCCTGACAATTTTCAGCTAAATCGGTTCAGCCGTTCTTGAGTTATAAGTGGAGTAACTAACACGACTTTCTTTTATATATATAGATGTAAACTAACACTAAGCCATCGGGCCACTTAATGCGCGGGGGCCCTGATGCATGCCTTTGCTGAGAAGAAGCAGCGGAATCCCCGTCGACCAATGTACTATTAAGACGTGGTGATCAAACTTTTGACACAAACATTACAATATTTGTGAGGAACACTTTATGTGGTCGCGATCCTCATCAGTGAGGGACCGAGGAAGAAAAAGAATTACAATAATTAGCTCAGCTGTCTCACCCCAATAGGAATTGACAGATAGTCAAGTAAGGGGGCGTCCATTAATTACGTGAGACAATTTTGGCAATACTTCAACCCCCCCGCCCCCCTTGGTGAGATTTGGTGAGATTTTTCCAGACCCCCCACAATCTCACGTGAGATTTCTTAAAATACATATTATTAATTTCGTTTGTTTTGTTTTTTCTAATTTCTTTATTGTGTAGACGGTTTAGAATAAAAAATTTAATAATTTATCATTATCATCTTAAAAATTATTTATTTTTTTAATTTCAAATAACCCAGTTTTCTCGCAATTTGACCCTTTTTCTTGCTGAAAAAAATTACGTGATATTTGTCGAGACCCCCCCTCTCCCTTACGTGAGATTTAGTGAGGTTTTTCTTGACGCCCTCCCCCCCTCCACTAAACGTCTCACGTAATTAATGGACGCCCGCTTATCTTAAGTTCAAATTATTGTGCCCATAATGACAGAACTCTGTAAAAAATTAGTCTATTTATATTTTCGACCTTACACTGAGTGAATAACGTTCAAATTATGTTCTCGACACTCACGGCACGTCCTCTTCCTCATCAATAGGCTCGCTTTCAGCTTGGATGCTCTCCATGGCCGTGGAGTGAGCTACCAATCGCTGCCGATTGATAGATCTGCAAAAAACATCGATGTTTTACTACATAGTTGTATGTTATAAACCTTTTTTAGGTTAGTTAATTGGGACAGAGAACGTCTCTATGGGACTATTCCCACCTCTCGTTCCCACCACTGCAACTCCTGTAGTAGCCAGGATCTACAGCTTGACCGCCATAAAAACCCAACCAATGAAGGTCAAGTTTGTCCCGGGGAAAGTTAAACTGTCATTGGACCCGCAACGAAATTAATCAGAATAACATAGGAAAAGTTCGAAATTAAGGTTCGACTTCCCTCCATTGCAAAGCGGATGACAGGTGACAAACAAAGGTTTAAAACCTTTAAAAAAAGAAAACTTATCTAGTGGCGACCACGGGCAGGCCTCCTTCTAGCTAGACAGACCGACGATCTGGTGAAGGTCGCGGGAAGTAAGTCAGCGTCAAATAGTTCGTGACACCCAAAGTGGCCGAAAATTACAACACAACCTGTTTTTTTTTTTAATTGGAACAAAGTGTTGCGATCTTTTTGACGTTGACTGTACTTGGATGCGGGTAGCGCAGGACCGTTCGTTGTGGAAATCCTTGTGGGAGGCCTTTGACCAGCAGTGGACGTCATTTGGCCGAAACGAGGTATTTTACTTGTCATGGATTGAGGATAAATACAAATTACTGGACTGCAGTGGACAACCAAAGCTAAATGAATGAAAATAAAAACAAAAATATCTATCATACATAACGTCACACTTGAAGTAGGAAAGTTGTAAGTTAGTTATACTTCAGTCATACATGTGATTAGAAGGAGGCAGAAAGGTCACAAGACAGTTACGGAAGTTATTGCTAGAAAACTGATCAATGTTTTGAACAAATATAACGTTCAATTCAGTGATCAGTGTGATCAATTCAAATCACTGATCATTGAATTGATTAATTTTCGAGAAGATTAAAAAACTGATCAATACTTTGAACAAATCGTGACATTCAGTGCAGTGATCAATGTGATCAATACAAATCACTGATCACACTGATCAATGGTTTGAACAAATCTGACGTTCAGTGCAGTGATCAATGTGATCAATACAAATCACTGATCACGTTGATCATTGAATTGATCAATTTGGTAGGAAATTGGGAAAGTTTAGAACATCAGCCATTAATAACAATTTAGACATGCTTTAGTCAACCCACACAATCTGAAGACGGAGGACATGCATTGTATTAACAGTCAATTAGTACAAACGGGTAGTTAGGTTTCATTACTGTTGCGTTAAATAAAGCCGTATACACACTTTTCATCCAATAACTATTTTAGCCTTTTACAAGAAAGTATACCAATTGAAATAGAAAAATTGAAAATAATTGCTGTAAATAAATTCAAGAAATCTCAGCATTTTCTAATCCCTGTTCTAGGGAATAACAAGACAAATAATATGTTTAGTTTTATGGATTACTGACATTTGATTTGATTGAAATTTTTCTGCACAGAGTATTTCAGAGTGTAAAAGGCAAACTTAATGCCTTAACAGTCAAGCTTTAGGCCAAAGAGAAAATTAACACTCAATAAGTTTATTGCTTCCTTAATAGTACATTTAATTAGAGTCTATGTTAACAATTTCTTAATTTTGGCGAAATACCGAATTTTCTCATCAAAATAAGGGTCTAAAAAAATGTAGATGTTTAGATTTTTTTTCTTAGAACTAGCGAGTGTGTACACGGCTTAACAGACCATAGACAAAACGTTAGACAAACATGAACATAGACAAATAAACTCGTACTGTGTCCGTTTGACTTGCGCCCCGAAATCTTCTTTCCCCTGATCCGATCTGAAATTACCAACATAAAAACCTTTCGTATACAATATACAAATATACATAGTAAACTCAATATACGTATTGTATACAGATACCGACACCGATAGAGAAGTATAGATGATTTACAGATCTATTTTTAATATATTCCCAACATAAAAATACCCTTAAGTCCGTACGATTTTGTTTCTTCTATAACAATGAAGTGATATAACTTAAAAATAATAATTACATCATGACGTATAGTCTGCTCTGGTCTGTGAGCACGTAGAATTTTGTCCAATGACCCCAAGCTACCCATGCTTATCGCTCGCGCGTAATTATATTGCTGTCGCGACTGTGCGTCGGGCGCCCGCAGTGAGTGTGCGAGCGCGACAGCAACATAATTACGGGTAGCTTGGGGTCATTGGACAAAATTCTACGTGCTTATAGACCGAGCTTAGCTTGCTAGATTATGTTGCAAAGCAAACCTTATCATCATCAAGATAAAGTTCACATTTACTTTGTCCCTTCAAATCCGGTTTTCTTAAACTTGCTGTCTTCGTTGCTTTGCCTCGAGTTAGTCCGCTCTTGATATATCACATCACAAGTTTCGTAGACTAAGTTGTCCGCGTGCTGTTGTAAAATTTACGAACTTTATTGCTATACAAATAAGGTCCTAATTTACCTCGTCCTATTCAATCCGCTCTTCTTAGGTTCTCCATCCGCGTCGTCGTCGCTCTGTCCCGAGTCCGTTCTTTTCCGAGCTTCGGTCTTCTCCCGTTGCGCTTCGTCCAGGTTGTGGATGCCGACTAGTAGGGAGTAGTCCATGATCTGTGGGTAGATAGACAAGAATTATGATCATTATTTGTATGTATTAATCAGAAATACTGAGATTATGAGAATTGAATGAAGAACCGTCAAGGGCAGGGCACCACGGGACTATTCCCACCGCTGCAACTTCTGTGTAGCCAGGATCTACAGCTTGACCGCCAATAAACACCCAACCAGTGAAGGTCAAGTTTGTCCCGGGGGAAAGTTAAACTGTCATTGGATCCGCAATAAAATTAATCAGTTGATATCACAGTGAGTTGTTGGGTTGGGTTTTTATTGGCGGTCATGCTGTAGATCCTGGCTACACAGGAGTTTCAGTGGTGGGAACGAGAAGTGGGAATAGTCCCGAAGTGTTTAGCAGTAGTAGGTACATTTGATTCAGGAGCAGTTCACTGAATTTACCACGCATTCTTGTATGGTGTATCTTATAAGAATGGGTATACAAAATTGCGTTATTTTTCCCTATCGCATACCTTAAAACTCTCCATCACGCGGCAGTCGCGCTGCATGGTCTTGATGACCGCACTATACGTGACCGCCTCCAGGAATATGCTTCATGTAGCGTAGCGTCGCGTCGTGTCGCGTCATGTAGCGTTCAATCACTTACCTAGGACGTCTGGCTTCATGTACCGTTCTGTAGCGTCATGTCGCGTCTTGTATCGTGGCCTCGCGTCGTGTAGCGTTACGTAGCGTTCCGTAATAGGGTTGTCACATACCTTAAAGCTCTCCAAGACTCGGCAGTCGCGCTGCATGGTTTTAATGAGCGCGCTATACGTGTCCGCCTCCAGGAATATGCTTCATGTAGCGTTCCGTCGCGTTGTGTCGCATCATGTAGCGTTCCGTCGCTTACCTAGGACGTCTGGCTTCATGTAGCGTTCTGTAGCGTCATGTAGCGTGGCGTCGCGTCGTGTAGCGTTACGTAGCGTTCCGTAATAGGGTTGTCACATACCTTAAAGCTCTCCAAGACTCGGCAGTCGCGCTGCATGGTTTTAATGAGCGCGCTATACGTGACCGCCTCCAGGAATATGCTTCATGTAGCGTTCCGTCGCGTCATGTCGCATCATGTAGTGTTCCGTCGCTTACCTAGAACGTCTGGCTTCATGTACCGTTCTGTAGCGTCATGTCGCGTCTTGTAGCGTGGCGTCGCGTCGTGTAGCGTTACGTAGCGTTCCGTAATAGGGTTGTCACATACCTTAAAGCTCTCCAAGACTCGGCAGTCGCGTTGCATGGTCTTGATGAGCGCACTATACGTGTCTGCCTCCAAGAATATGCCCTCTGTATGGTGCTCCATGAAGTCCAGGTCTTTGTACGTCGGCGACTTCTTTGTTCTTTCGCTTTTGTTCGCCTGGAATAAAGTGTTTATTAGAATCGAGGCAGATTTTTTAATTATTTTTAGTTTAACAATAGTGACTGAGATTTTTGCGCTGCTTTCTCAGCACTGGCCCATTTATTTATTGTCCAGAGCAGTGGTAGGGTTAAAGTAATACTGGGACGTGTAAAAGTGCTTTTTAAAAGCCTACTCGAATAAAATAAATTAGGTTTTTTGTGACCTAACTTATTTGAGACGCGACCCCTCCTCCAGTAAGATTATTATTTTATTGGTCGTATCGAGCAGTCTGGAATGAATTATCTCAGCGGTAGCAGGTTTTTTATTAAGTACACAGATGGCCCGCGCCCCCCACTTTGGGAACCAATACTCTAGCTAGAGACTGGAATAGACTTACCTTTCTCTTATAAGTGGATCCTTTCAAGTCATACTTCTGGTGCAGTTTCACAGACGACGGCAGTATGTTATTCATAGCAACCAGTCGCACGTTCTTACTGTTGCACTGGTAACAGTATAGTCCGAAGAACTTCGGTAGTAATGTGCGCGGGTTCTGTGGATGGGAAAATGAACTTTAAGACAGAGGTAAGAGAGGCGAAAATGGCGTGACAACTGGGCATGTTCTGATACGAAAATGGCGTATTGAGTATTAACAATTTGGGCAGGTTCTGTGGATGGGATAATAGACTTTATGACATGAGTATCACATAAGAGGAAAGGCGGAAATGGTGTATTGAGTATTGATAATTTGAGCGGGCGGAAAATGAACTTTATAAGTGGGAAAGGGAGAGACTAAAATGCCAAAATGGTTTATAAGGTAGCAGATAATCTTCGATTTCTTAAAGGGGACTATGCGAACTCCAGGGGATTTAACATGACAAGAGTATCACGTAACAAGACAGGCAAAAATCGCGTATTGAGTATTGGTAATTTGGACGGATTCTGTGGATGGGAAAATAAACTTTAAGACAGAGGTATAAACAGAACATCACCTCTCTCACAAATAAGAGCCTGTCAGTTTCTTTTTTCCCCTTATTTCCAGCATCAGTAGTGGTAAGACAAGCAATGCTCTATTGGGGATGCGTGTAAGTGCCCTAAATACACTCAAAAAACATAACCCTCCTTCTGGCTCACTCGGGTAAAAAGGGCTTGCGTATTCATAAAGAATTTGAAATCTTCCCAAAAATTGGTAGTCCCGAAGTAGTAATATAAAGCTATGCATTTGGGCCTTGTTTATGTGCCATAAAAAGACCCTTGCGCACCAGTGGGCATCCTATAGTTCAAACTATATTGTAGCTCACCTGATCGAGATTCAAGTAGTAACCGGGCAGCAGTTTCTGCAGAAACTCCCCCTCTTTGTGTTGGACTGTTTTTATGATGAACTCGTCGTCGTTGGTCAGGTAGAATATGCTGCCCGACGCTCCGGGGTTGCTTAACTCGCGAAGAGGCGCGCTGCACATTGACATCTGTAAAGAAAAGGTGGTTAGAAATATGGACGTCTTCCAGTTAAGAGCTCTTTAAATTAGACATCAAAACACTGACAATTAGACACTGAAAATTATATACCAACTGCGTTGGAATAAAAATGACACGTCAATTACCACATGACAAGACCGCACGGTCTTGCAAATGGACGACAAAACGTCCAGCTCAAACGGTCTAATTTGAAAGAGCCCTAAAGGAGGCGGGCGTTATAAATGTGGACTTCTTCTGGCTAAAAGCAGTTGTCGACAGAGACGGGAGAACGTGAGAAAGAGACAGAGACCTCAGTCAAGTAACGTAGTAAGTCTCGGTTGCGTGTCTTCTGGGCCGAAAGAAGATAAAGACAATAGTTTTTGCTGTCTAGTTAGACGGGTTGGGGAGTTCTGATGTGTCCTTTAGTTGCCCTTTACGATATTCACTGAAACTCTACTCTGCTGGGACCACACAGCACGGGTTTTCTTTTGTTATTTTTGCATTATGCTCCAGTTTGTATACGAGATTCGCATTAGCCGGATTAATAACTTACAATACTTTCACAACCACTTAATAACAAAACTTTATCAACCTCACCTTAACCCAATTAATTAGAAACGCAAAAACACTAATTTCCATACAATTTCGATAACTCGAATGAATTCCAATTATGAGCGAACCTTGGAGTAATCAGTATGTTTTAATTGACAAAGACCATAGAGCAACACGTGCGTAGTTTTGAAACAGTGTTTATGATTAAGAGAGTACTGATAAGATTTGACGAGAAAATTGTGCCTGTGACATAGTGCAGGCAAAAACGGTGACCACGGTCTGTATGAAGACTCAAGACTGTTATTGGGTAGTTTTCTGGAACGGGACTATTCCCACCTCTCGTTCCCACCACTGCAACTCCTGTGTAGCCAGGATCTACAGCTTGACCGCCACAAAAACCCAACCAATGAAGGTAAAGTTTCTCCCGGGGGAAAGTTAAACTGACATTGGACCCGCAACGAAATTAATCAGAAGAGTAGTTAGTAGAGTAGAGTAGTTTTCTGGAAGACATTATGGTGCCAAAAATCCGCCATTTAGATTTTTTTCAATTTTAATATAGTCAGTGTCACTCACGATTAAGACGAATCTAACGACACCTTTCACGCTAAAATCGGTCAAGCCGTTTAGACTGTAGGCCGTGCCAAAGAAATATACATACGTATATACACTCGAAAAACATAACCTCCTTCTGGCGCAGTCAGGTAAAAATGTATGTAAGTTGATTGGTAATGCCATCTCAAGCATAGAATAAGGCTTTGGATTGGTTGAATTTCAATATTTAGATCTATGACAGGTCTGTCCTGTCATAGGTCTAAATATTGATTCTGATCTATGACTGTGTTTGAATCCAGTTTAGATCTTCGTCTGCAATACGCACCTACTCAGCTTATGTTAATAACGATATTATAAGATAACATAAGCTTCATACAAACAGTCGAATAAATCTTAAAATAATAAACAACATTACAATGTACTGGTTTTTACATTTGGAGTTCATGTGAAATAGATATGCAAATATTATTCTGTTTTGTGACGCAATTATTTAGGAAAGTATATTTAGGAACATTGTTTATGCTCTCGATTACGCCTACGTGGATTTTGATAAGACACAGATCTTTCTTGGAACTCATTTACATTTCTAGTTATTAATTTTGAAGGCCTTTTTGGTGATGCGGATTTCGGAACGCAAACGGAACTGGTCTGCGTGCGTGTATATCACGCTGGTGGCACGCAGGACAAAGATTTCGTATTGTGTGATAGCAGCCAATCCGCGACGAATCCGCGCCCATAGTGACAAAACCTAATAGATCAAGACACGGGTGACCGATTCTAGATCAGTGAGGGCATAGAAAACTTGAGTCATTTTAATTATCCTAGAGGATGATTATACTTATAGATAGACAATTTCCGACTGCAATGGGGCTTCTACATGCTCCGGTTTAGGTAGTTTTGTGTCTATCTGTCTCTCTTGTCCATGCTGGAATCTCCTTTTGCGTGAGAGGGATAGAAAGTAACAGTGCTGGAATGGAGCAGCCAAAACAAATGACAATCTGCCAAGTTACAAGAGGGAATATCTATCACCATCAGTCGCTGTCAGTCATCGCGCTTTGTATGAGAGGGATAGCAATATGGGGTACCTTTCTTTCGTGGAGTAACTCCGCTGAATAAATGAAGGTCAGCACATAAGAAGTAAGCAGATTCACCAGAAACTTACTGGAATTACTGGATGGGTTTTATTGGCGGTCCAGTTGTAGATCCTGGCTACACAGGAGTTGAAGCAGTGGAAAGAGAAGGAAATATTCTCTTACTCACCAGGAAATCGTCGGGCTGTATCCCGAACAGGTCCCTGAAGCATCTAAAAGCAATCACCAGGGTTTTGTCTCCTAAAGTCTATCACCATGGTCTAACTAGACGACCAGCATCGGTCCGTTTGGTAGACTCACCAGGAAATCGTCGGGCTGTATCCCGAACAGGTCCCTGAAGTAGCGGAACGCGATCGGCGCGTACGTCTTGAACTTGAACTCGGAGTAGTGGTGCGCGGGCGTGTGGTTCGAGCCCTCGTGCGGGAAGTTGGTTGTCTCCACTGTCATGAAGTCCTGCATGAGCAGATCACGCTCAGGTTTGGATGCCAGACCGCCGATTGCGTGTTGGATTCCTGGAAAAGATGAAATAATACAGTTACATAGTTATAATGACGTATCATAGGCTTTTCAAAATTCACGGGGATTCTAAAGGTGTGAAATAGAGTTCACTGCTGGACAACGGCCTCCCCAAGGGTTTCTACAACGACCGGTCCTGCGCTGTTTGCATCCAGGTACTTCCCGCTACCTTCACCAGATCGTCGGTCCACCGAGTGGGAGGCCTGCCCAAACTTATGTTCAGCAGTGGACGTCTTATGACTGAATTACGTGTTTTTGATACCTTTGTGACAGACCAAAACGACGCAACGCCAGAAGCAAAATCTAGTTAATTTATACCGCATATTATTGTAAACCAGTGTTTTTCAACCTGTGGGTCGCGAAGCCTCTATAGGGGGGTAGCGAGAGGTCTTAAAAACTACCTCAGTAAAAAAAAATCAGACAGATTAATCCGAAATCTAACTATGCAAATGTTGTATGGATTGAAGTATTCGGTTCCTACAAACATCTTTGCAACATTATAAAATGCATGAAAAAAAAGCGAACGGTCGGGGGGTCGCCAAAAATATTTTCATTCTAGGGGGGTCGTGTCATGAAAAAGGTTGAAAAACACTGTTGTAAACAATAGACTTCATTCAGCCTTTACCCAAAACCCTGATCTATCAACCTACATCCATATCACTAACCAAAACCTGTCTTAATTAGAACATTTCCCAGAATACCTGTTTTATCTCGATTCGCGCACCGTTGTTTTATTCAAAGGAAAACTTTCAGCGAATGTTTCTGAATAGGGTGGCCATTGTGGGTGGAAATTTTGGGATAGTCTTATGAATAAATTGTACTACCATTTTATGTCGGTGTTTTAAAAATTGGCCTCTCAGATCTCAATGATAAAAGCAATGGTGAAATATTTACTTCGATACCATAAAAACTCTGAGAATCACATTGACGGGCTTTGTCAAAAACACTTCAAAAGACGTGGGTCGGTCGTTGAATTGGCCATATCGTGCGTGATACGTCGGCACTTTATGATTAATTAAGCCATCTTGCACGAAAACTCAACATCGTAAGAAAAAGTAAATTTTTAATCGTCGGATAACTTTTAACTGAAGAATATAGCATATTGACAGTTTCAGTATGGAAATTATGTCAAAATGACAAGTTTATTCTTCAGTTAAAAGATATCTGACGATTGAAAAATCAGCCTTAAGTAGCTCAGACGGTTAAGAGCAGACACCCGGCAAGCGAAAGGTCATAGGTTCGATTCCCATCTAAGGCAATTCTATTTTTTTAATTATTTTAAATCGTAACTTAAGTGTTTTTCGTAATCAAATTACTTAATTACAACATGGCCACCCCACGGATCGATTACAAATTACAAGATTACAAGTGTTTTTCGTAATCAAATTACTTAATTACAACATGGCCACCCCACGGATCGATTACAAATTACAAGATTACAACCGGTTGCCAAAGAGCTGTTATCACCGGCTTCCGGTGGCAGGAGGAAACCGGTGGCAAGGCCGGAGCGAACAATGTCAAGTGCGTGATAACATCAGGTTTGTGGCTAATTCGCTGAAACGGTAGAACCAAATTGGAAGTTCTTGTTCTTATTTTAGAACTTGGAATAGTGTGGCTTTTAATGGGACTGGAGGCAAAGGCGCAGACGGATCACCTGATGGTAAGTGATTAACACCGCCCATAGGACACCCACAGTCCCGGGGCAGTTAGCTTAGGCGCAGACCACCGATTTTTAATTGGCCGATAGTTGGGTCGGGCTGTTCATCAGTATGGAGATGTATGAAAGTGCGCACATTACACCGATTTCGTATCGGCTGATTCTTCATACAATTTAGAATGGGGCCCAACTATCGGCCAACTAAAAGTCGGTGGTCTGCGCCTAGGCTTACAGGTGAGTTACCGGCCTTTAAGGTATAAAGTACGCTCTCTTCTTGAAAGATTGTAGGTCGTCCGGAAATACCGCAGACGTCCATTCCACAATTTGGTTGTGCGGGGCCCATTAATAAGGGTGAGAAGTAGTCAGCCGTGCGTTTGCATAGTCGCACATGGACATATTTTACCCTCGGCGAAGCTCCTGCAACTCACCGAAGGTAGAAGTAAGCTTCATCCGTAATTCTCAATCACAGAGGAACCACATAACTTAAGTATAAGAGATGGTGCTTAAGCTGTATTTGAAGATCTTGGATTTCAGTCTTTAAGAGGTGGCATATAAAATATAAGTTGTAGATCCTGGATACACAGGAGTTGCAGATGTGGGAGAAAGTCGGAATAGTCATATAATATTTTATTGAACTGCTGCTTTTACATACTGATGTTACAGCACTAATACTGATGTTATAGCCACAGAATAATAATAAGTTGTTATAGCGTTTATTTGATTTTGCAAAAATCATATACAGGATGGAAACGATAAGTGATCTCACGCGATTAATTCTAAACTATACAAGATATCGAAAAACTGATTACTGATCCTGAAAGTGCTTCACGCTATTAGTACCGTTGGACAGAGCACGTGAAGCACTTTTAGGATCAGTAATCAGTTTTTGGATATCTTGTGTAGTTTAGAAATAATCGAGTGAGATCACTTATCGTTTCCACCCTGTATATTTTGTTCACAAATGCCAATCATTTACATCCTTACATCTTTAAAAATTACAAGAAATATCTAATTAATCAAACCGATAGTAAAGTCTAAAATAGCCCGTTAATCACAATGCAAACTGAGTTTTCTAACATCGCCGCGGGTTCTAAAAAAGTCAATGGGTACAACCTTGAACTGTGAAGCAACAAGTATTGAAGTGGCAGGTTAGTTAAGTAGACTCGGTCGGAATTAAGAAAGAAATGTACTGTTGATAGAACGTTAAGTTTTTCTGTACAACGAAGACAATTTTTAAGCAGTGACTTCGGCATCACACCAGAAATAGGTACGACGATATTGCAGAAGAAATGTCTTGCTTTTTCTATCAAGTGGGTCATAATATCTGATTTATTTACATATAAGCCGTCAAAATCGTACAATAATTCGATCGGCGGCTTAGTGTGCTATGTGAAGAACAAAGCGCTGCGCTATGTGAAGAACAAAGTGCTAAAGTGCTGTAAGAACAAAGCGCTTTTTTTTCTACAACACCTACCATCTGATACAAGGATATGACAGAGTCTTTGGAAAGCGTATCAATTTAAAAAATAACGTAATCTGCTTGAACATACAATAGGTGAGAGCCTACTGCTTATCTGTTTGTTATGACATCATTAAATAGTAAAGATTTTAGAGAATTCACTGTCAATTCTTGTTAAAATAATAAGGATAACTTGCGTTAACATGTCATATCAGCAAGGACAAGTTTCTTTGGACTACCTACAGTCTACAACTTCTACAAGTATTTGAATTTTGTGGATCCATGCTAATAGCAGACTAGACACAATCAGTAAAATGGCATTGCATTGAAGTACCCAGATCACCGTTCTCGAGTGGCAACCACGGGCCGGAAGACCAAGACGTAGCGTGGGCAACTGGGCAGGCCTCCTACTAGGTGGACCGACGATTTGGTGAAGGTTGCGGGAAGAACCTGGATGCGAAAGCGCAGAACCGGTCGTTATGGAAAGCCTTGGGGGAGGCCTTTGCCCAGCAGTGGACGTCATTTGGCTGAAACGAACGAGCCCCGATCATATCCCTAAGCAGGCTCTGGATTGGAACCCCCAAGGAAAACGCATACCTAGTCGCCCCAAACTTGGCTGCGCACTGTAGCAGACGAGGCGAAGAAAATCGGCAAGACCTGGAGCGAGATCAAACGCGAAGCTCAAGACCGAACGCGATGGAGGACTGTTGTGGACGCCCTCTGCCCCATCTAGGGGACATAGGACAGTAATGCCCGTTTTCATCATCAATCCCTAATTTTCAAGTGACCCCTATGGTAATACTTAACATAAATTTTGTTTTCATAGGAGTCACTTAAAAATTAGAGATTGATGGTGAAAACGGGCATAAGTCAAGTAAGTCATTGAAGTAAAGTCATTACTACTGACAATGGGGTTGGAATGAAGTAATGTCATTACTGGAGGAAGGAACGACAGTAACATCGACGTCATCACTACTCATAGTCCGTTTTAAGGAGTATTTAAAAAAACAATTCCCAGACGGGCTGCTGAATCAAATAAACAAACCAGTAGCATTGTAGGAAAATTTCAGCTTTGTCAACAATAGCGTTCATATCAACAACAAGTTATTCTTAACTTTCCTTATTCCGTATCATCAAATATCCTGCACTTTTACTGCTGATAAATTGAATAATATTTAGTTTGGATGTTCTGATTTTATGTAGTGAAGTGAATTTGCTGAAATTGAACTTATATTATTATTATGTTAGGAGAGTGCGACAAAGTAAATTAAAAAAAAATAATCAAAGGCTTACTACCAATGAAACTGAAAATAGGAGTAGTTACAAACTGAAAATATTAGTGGACATGGAGACCAAATAATAATTTATTTTTATCCTGCAGACCTTCAACTAAACGTTTAATAAAATCTAACCAGTGATGGTTGTGTTAGTCAGACCCGAGAGTAAGTAAGAAAGGAATCAGAAGAAAATAATCCTAAGGAAAAATTTTCATCGTCATCATTTCAGCCATAGGACGTCCACTGCTGAACATGGGCCTCCCCTAATGATTTCAATGTTGAGCGATTGGTAGCGGCCTGCGTCCAGCGCCTACCTGTTACCTTTATGAATGATTTTTTTTCCAACGTTTAAAACGGGAGAAGTTTAGCGAATATTGTACAAACTGTAAAAAGAGACACGGAAATGAGAAAAGTAGAATCTGTACTGCAATTTGCGAGAATCTGTCACTAACAAAACACTTCCACTCAATACTCATGAAGTTATGACGTCACCCGACGTAACAACTAACAATGCTTACAAAGTACCAGCCTTCCTACAAAAAGTAAGAATTACAACGCTATCAGAGGTCATGTGAAAAACCATCCATTGTGCGACAGACACTT